GTGTCGAGGGGTGCCAGAGGGCTGCCCCTCACTCCTCCCAGTTTCCTCCGACAGAGGCCCCACTGCAGACACTTCACATGGACGTGTGGGGCCCAGCCCGCGTCTGTGGACAGGGTCACGAGCGCTACTTCCTACTTGTTGTTGACGACTACTCGCGTTACACCGCAGTCTTCCCCTTGCGCGGCAAGGGTGATGTCACTGAGGTGCTGATCGACTGGATCCGCGCAGCTCGTCTCAAGCTCAGGCAGAGCTTTGGCTCGGACTTTCCTGTTCTGCGTCTGCACTCAGACAGAGGCGAAGAGTTTTCCTCTGGCCTTCTGCGAGCCTACTGTCGAGCACGAGGCATCCGTCAGACCTTCACGCTTCCGGACTCTCCGCAGCAAAATGGGATTGCTGAGCGCCGCATTGGCATGGTCATGGACGTCGCTCGTACGTCCATGATGCATGCGGCTGCCCCCCATTTTCTGTGGCCGTTTGCGGTGAGGTACGCGGCGCATCAGATCAACCTCCACCCCAGGGTCTCCAGGCCGGAGACCTCTCCAGCCTTGCTGTGGACGGGGAAGGTTGGCGATGCGTCGGCGTTCCGGGTCTGGGGATCTCGGGCGTTTGTCCGCGACTTGACTGCGGACAAGTTGTCCCCTCGTGCTGCTCCTTGCGTCTTCCTGGGGTTCCCCCCTGACGCGCCTGGGTGGCAGTTCTACCACCCCACCTCCCGCCGTGTTCTGTCCTCCCAGGACGTCACGTTCGACGAGTCGGTCCCCTGCTACCGCCTCTTCCCCTACCGCACTCCGTCCCTCCCCGCTCCCCCGCTCTTCGTTGTACCAGGTCCCCCCCCGGTAGACCCCCTCCCCCCTCAGGGTCCTGCCCCTTCAGGTGTGTCCCAGGTAGACGCAGTCGAGCCTGTCGAGGTTACTGGTGACTCTGGTGCTGCTGAGGGTGCTGAGCCTGGGGGTGCTGCGACTGGGGGTGCTGAGCCTGGGGGTGCTGAGACTGGGGGTGCTGAGCAAGGGGGTGCTACGACTGGGGGTGCTGAGCCTGGGGGTGCTGAGCTTGGGGGTGCTGAGTCTGGGGGTGCTGAGCCTGGGGGTGCTGAGCCTGGGGGTGCTACACCTGGAGGTGCTGTGCCTGGGGGTGCTGAGCTTGGAGGTGCTACGCCTGGAGGTCCTCCGGGTGCTTCCTCTCGCCGGGAGCCACTCTCTCCACCCGAGCTACTCGAGTGGTTTGCCCGGCGCTGGAGGCGTGCTGCTGGAGCTGGAGGTTCTTCGGCTGCTGAGGGTGCTGGTGCCGCTGATCCCGGAGGTGCTCGTACTGGGAGTACTGGAGCTGCTGGGCCTGCGGGTACGACTGGAGCTGGAGCTACTGAGGGTGTTGGCACTGAGACTACTGCTGGCGGTCCGGCTGCGGGTGTTGGTGCTGAGCCTCCTGCTCGCGGTCCTGCTGCGGGTGCTACTAGTGCTGCTGGAGGTTCTGGAGTTGCTGGCGGTGTTGCTGGAGCGGGTGCTCCTGCTACGGGTCCTGGTGCTGTCCCTGCTGTGCCTGGCGTCGCCGCGCGGCCTCAACCGTACTTTGTTCCACTCCTGCACCAGGTTCTTGATCCCCCTCCTCCTCCCTTAGAGTGTTCGCAGCCTGTCCAGTCACAGCTACAGTTACAGCCTTCCTCCCTACTGCCTGCTCCTTCTCCCTACACTGGTCCTACTGGAGGTCTTGCTGAGCGTCGTGAGCCTGCGTCTCGTCCTACGTCACCTCTTCGTGCTGCTCGCCCTAGTGGTCGCGGTTCGCGTCAGCGTCCTCCTCCTGTCCCTGGCACGCACCAGATGTCTCTGCGTCCGTCCACTGCTCCTCTGCGTGCCCCTTTGCCTTCTCCTCCTCCGTCCTCTCTTCCTACTGCTGCCGACCCGGAGTCGGACTCTCTTCGTGCTGCCAGTCCTACTGTCACGCGTCTCCTTGCTACTATCGACACTGACCCTTCTTTCGAGTCCACTGCTGCGTCTGCCCTAGTTGCTGAGCTCGTCGACTTTGCTGCTCGATGTCGCCTAGACTACGCTGCTAGTCTTTTCGCTGAGTCTGCGTCTGTCCGTCCTCCGTCCGTTGGGGGTGAGTGTGCCCTTGGCACGGACGTCCTAGAGGACAGGCAGGAGGAGTTCCAGTGCTTGGCCGCTGCTTCACCTCATCTCGTGTCCGTACTGCTTACCCCTGAGGGAGACCCGGATGCACTTGACATCTCGACTCCGCGCTCTTACGCGGAGGCGATAGAGGGTCCCTACTCTTCTCAGTGGCAGGCAGATATGGATGCAGAGATGGCTTCCTGAAATTCCACAGGCACCTACGTTGACGCTGTCCCCCCTCCTGGGGCGAACATCGTCAGTGGCATGTGGATCTTCAGGGTGAAGCGGCCGCCGGGTTCTCCGCCTGTCTTCAAGGCGCGTTACGTGGCTCGTGGTTTCAGTCAGCGACAGGGAGTTGACTACTTTCAGACCTTCTCTCCCACCCCGAAGATGACCACTTTTCGGGTACTGCTGCACGTTGCTGCTCACCGAGACTACGAGTTACACTCTCTCGACTTCAGCACAGCTTTCTTGCAGGGCAGCCTGCACGAGGAGATCTGGCTGTGCCGCCCGCCTGGTTTCACTGGGTCGTTCCTTCCTGGCACCCAGTGGAGTCTCCGGCGTCCAGTCTACGGTCTCCGCCAGGCACTCCGTGAGTGGAACGACACACTGAGGACTACACTTGCGGCTCTTGGGTTTGCTCCTTCTACTGCCGACCCGTCGCTGTTCTGCGCACCGACACCTCTCTGCCGCCTTTCTACATCCTCGTGTACGTCGACGACTTGGTCTTTGCCACAGCTGACACTGCTGGACTCGCCTACGTGAAGTCCGAGCTGCAGAAGAGACACACGTGCACAGACCTGGGTGAACTGCGCAGCTACCTTGGCTTGCAGATCACCCGGGACAGAGCACGCCGCACCATTACCTTTACTCCGTCATACATGGTGCAGCAGGTCCTTCAGCGCTCCGGCTTCACGTACTCCTCGCCTCAGGCCACTCCTCTGCCTACTCGCCACTCGCTCTCAGCTCTGCCTTCGGATGAGTCCGTAGAGTCGAGTGGCCAGTATCCAGAGCTTGTTGGCTGCCTCATGTACCTGATGACCTGCACACGACCTGACCTTGCATACCCTCTTAGCATTCTCGCACGCTATGTTGCTCCTGGGAGACACCGACCAGAGCACATGGCTGCAGCGAAGAGGGTGTTGCGCTACTTGTGCAGTACGTCGGGCATGGGGCTAGTGCTTGGAGGGCGCAGTCCAGTGGTCCTCACTGGGCACGCAGACGCTTCCTGGGCTGACAACCAGGCTACACAGCGGTCGTCACAGGGTTACACCTTCAGCCTTGGTTCCGGCTCTGTCTCGTGGCGGGCTACTCGCTCGTCTTCTGTTCTCGGCTCCAGTTGTGAGGCCGAGATCTACGCTGGGGCCATGGCTGCACAGGAGCTTCGCTGGCTCACCTACCTGCTGACCGACCTCGGAGAGCCGCCTTGTTCTCCTCCAGTTCTGTACGTAGACAACAAGGCCATGCTGGCCTTGTGTCGAGAGCAGCGACTGGAGCACAGAACGAAGCACATTGCTCTCCGCTACTTCCTTGCTCGTGAGCTACAGCAGCGTGGACAGTTGCGGCTTGCTTACGTGGCCTTTGAGGCCAACACTGCTGATGTTTTCACCAAGGCACTTCCGCCTTGTGATCATCAGCGCTTCTGCACACAGCTGGGTCTTGTCCCTGTCTTGTCTCACTTGCTCACCTCTTGACCTTGTTTGTACTGTTACATATATGTATACCTGCTCTCACTTGTCTAGACTTATATATATATATATATATATGTACTCCTGCATGTGAACTGGCCTTATGGCCTTGAACTTGTGCTTAGAATGTGTGGTGACTTTGTGATCCACCCTGAGCTTGCTTTGCTTTCTTTTGCTTAACTGGTCTTGTGACCCCTTGTTCTCCCCCACTTTGCCTATGGGGGTGTGTCAGAACATATGTAGCTTATGCTTTTGTGTAGGCTATAGTGGGGTATCCCATAGGGGGTACAACCCAATTAGGGTTATTACTTGTACTCACTTCATTCATAGTTCATTCATTCTCGTTTGCATTTCCTCATACGCCCGAAATTCTGCGAGGTTCACGAAAGTGACGATGGAAAATGTATCGTGTTACCACTTTCGGGTCCGGTCACTTTCGCGACTTGTAATCTACTGTTTGAAGTTGAATTCTGATATTCGAGCTTTGTTGTTCCATGCGCGACTCGGAATTGCTGATGCTGCTCCTCAACTACGAAAAGTCGAGATGGTCGACCACAGGTCGACCAAAGTTCAAATATGTAAATTCGAACAAAAAACATGAACTTCAGCCTGATTTGCATAAGACACGCGCCCTTAATGAGATGGCATCGTCGGAGCTCGCAAGGAACCGCGCGACAGGATTCAGACACAAGCGCGGTCAAGATAAACAGACAATCACAACTGCAAAAGTAAATAGTGAATCAAAACTTCGTTTCGTTTCATTTTCCGTGAATGCTCTGACTGGTTCGATTTGCGTTCTCTGATTGGCTGCGGAACTGATTCGTGCAATGTTTCAGTCAAGATGCAAGATTTCCCACCGAAAAGGGGACTCTAGAGGGGATACACCTAGGACTTATGTTAAAAGTACTCGTTGAGGAAATGAGACTCTTTTTGGAAGAGCCTCTAAGCCAGCCAGAACGTCTTCAAAGAACTAGACGGTTCAAGCTATACAGGCTGCATCACTATGTTCAGAATTATCGTCTGCATAACTGGATAGCATTCACGCATTGCGGCTGATTCAGATAAACTTTCTTTCTCGAACATGGGCACTCAGGTACTTCTCTGCGCTTCTTTTCCGCTTGTTCAGTTCCCTTCGCGTAACCTCCGCTTTTGAGCGTTAGCTTACGTACGGGATCGATGGGTGCGCGTGTGTGCGGCGAGGGTGCAGAGGAACGTGAGGGTGGCGGTGGCGGTGGACGGCAGCGACAACAGCATGCACGCGCTGCGAGAGGCGGTGCGGCTCTTCGCGCGCACGGCTAAAGAGTTTACCATCATTCACGCGCACAAGCCTCTACTGGTATCCTCCTCAACCAACTGGCATTAAGTTCCCCATTCTGCAAAACAAGTGTAGAGTTATTATAGTTATGGACCTCTTTGCGCTAGCTTTGCACAGGATTTTTCTTCACGTTGTTCATCTGATGCGCGACTGTACCCTAAAGAAACACGTCCCAGGTACTAGCACTGTCCTTTGCCGTTTTCCCTGAGAATGCTTGGCAGAACTCCGCACGGAGCGCTACCAAGACTGGAGTGATGCTGTCATGGCAGGAGAATCACGAACGCATGGAGCACGAGAGGCACACCAAGGCGCAGCAGTTGCTGCAGCGGTGCGCTGCCTTGGTGAAAGAGGAGGGTGCGAAGCGGGGGATGGGTGAGGGCGTGGTGGTAAGGGGCGTGGATCTTAAGGGCGACCCTCGAGATGTGCTGTCGACCCATGCGCAGAGCATCAGTGCGGATCTACTGGTCATGGGAACCCGCGGCTTGAGCATGCTAAAACGGTGAGGCTCCCTAAACGGTTACTCGTGCACAGAGAGAATAGCTCGCTCATTGGTTGTATTATTCTCTTCTTGATCCTCCCGTTTTCTCCCTTTCCTTCCCCACATCTCGTTCTATCCGCAGCTTGGCTCTTGGGAGTGTTAGCACCCACTGCATGCACCATGCTCCATGTCCGGTGCTGGTCGTCCCGCTGAAAGCCGACTCAACACACGGGCCCTCAGAACCCAAAGCAGATGTCACCCAGGCAGCAGCGTCCGAAATCGAGACCCCTGCATAAACTGGTGTATGTACACGGGCTAACTCGCGTCCATCATTGCATAGCAGACATCACTGCACTGGGGCAAAAGCATCTCAACCTTTAGAGCCTGCGTGTAAACTCTGAACGTACACATAGGGTCCCAGTGGGCAGCACTAGACGATGTTGTATGCCAACAAGGGGGGAAGTTGGAGAAACCTCATCTTCCTGCCTTGTATGTACTACTGAGAAGGTGCGTGACATGTGAGGGTGGATATATGTATCAAGGTGATTTGTTTTGTCGGTTTTGGCAAGTACCCTAATTATTGAAAGGCACTGGTAGGTGCATGGTCAGCAGATTTTCATGCTGTGCCTTCTCTTTTATCCTTGTATGCCACATGCCATGCCATAGGGCTTAACTGGACTTTAGGCCTCTGTTTGAAGCAAGAGTGCACTCTGTAAGAATTACCATGTACCAGGTACCCTATAGTGCCCCCCCCTCTCCCCCAGTGCACAGCTTCGGCAAGTTTGAGCTTGGTTGGTCTATTTCTTTCTCTCTGACCAACGTGCTGACATCCATGTAAATAAGGGCGTGTTCTACTGCCTTATCAGGCAACCCCTTATCAGACTAACGTCTCATCACACTGAAATTCACGTAGACCCAAACCCCTTCGCGTGTTGTATCAGGCAAGTCAGATAAGGGGTTGCCTGATAAGGGACCGTAGGAACACACCCTATGTCTATTTTTAAATTGTTAGGATATACCAAACCCTCAGATTCGTTTTTTGCCTGTCTGATTCATCAGACTAGTACACAATTTTAGTCTGAAACCCTCAGAGTTGGTATAAAAAAAGGCTGAAATTTCAGAGTGCCTTAATAAAAAAGTCTGAAACATCAATGTATCTAATGTTTCATCAGAAATGTATTCAATGCTTCATCTGATACTGAAACATACTAGACTAAGGGGATTTTCGGGAGACATGCTCTGACAGGGCGAATTTCTGTGTCAGGGCGAATCTTGTGGTGTGAAAGGGCGAATCTGCAATGTCAGGTGAAATGTCTTGGTGATTGGTCGAAATCATTGTGCTCTGACAGCGCAAATCAGATGTGTCAGAGCGATTTTGATGTGATTGGGCGAAAATCTTGTGCTGTAAGGCGCGGATTTGCAGTTTCAAGCCGATTTTGCATTGACCTGTGAAGTTCGAACCGAATCACCAGTCAAGAACACACGCAGAAAATAGAATCGGTACCGCGTTTGTACTCTGAGTGATCAGAGCACACTCCCGGAAAACTCTGAAACGTCAGAGTTAGCTCTAAAATTTCTCTGAAAATTACAGAGTTGGGGCCCAAAAATCTCTGATTTTAACAGACCTCACTTTAAAAAAAAAAAAAATCTGAATTCGTTTTTCATGCAAATCAGAGAAATTTCTCTGACTTCTGGGGGCCTGGGATATACGTACAGGGTTTTGTAAGATATGTATAAAGGTTTTTTCTTTGGAATTTCACTAGGACTTTCAGAGTTGTTGTTGTTGTTGTTGTTGTTTTTTTTTGGGTTGCGAAGCAACCTATTACAATCGTTATGTACAATTTTTTTTTCAATCCTCAATACCTTTAAAAAATAGAGGGAAAAAATATAGTGAACGGTACTAGCTAAATGACTGACTGCTATGTATCTGCCGCGTCAATTTACCACGTGCTGAACCACATTCCTTCTCATTTCCTAGTTTACTTTGACTGAACCTATATTTCATGAGTTGCCAAAATGATGTAGTGTGAATGCATAACTGTTTATTCCGTGATGCATATGTCTGCTGTTGTTATAAGTAGATGAAGTAAATGCAAATGCATAAGTATAATGCATATACGGTACTACCGGTACCGTAATGAAATAAATGCACAGCATGATGGAAGTGCGTAACAGTTAATTGACGCAGACCCTATGCTACCGTATCCCCTGCCTAGCATGGGGGGGAGCTCAATAGCATAATTTCTGAATCATCCAACTGTTACATGAAACAACACAATCTGTGTGATATAAAAAACAGGTCAATTCCATCAAATCCAGTTCGAATGGACACACTCACTTGTCAGATTATTATAGCTGATGCATGTTTGTAGGCCATAGTGGGGTAGCACATATGGGGTACAGTTTGCTAGGGTTGTATTTGTACCCAACTCTGACTTAGTCAATCCATTCCTCTGCTCATAGTTTCACATGGTATAGAGCTAGGTCCCTCCAGGACCGAATTTTTTTTTGGGCCCACCGAAGCGCGCCCCGAGGCGCGCCCTTTTTTGTTTTAGCGACCCTTCGGGTCGCCCTCTCCCCTGCGGCCCCGCCGCCTGCCCCTTACGCGGCCCCGCGCTGGCCCCTTACGCGGCCCTGCGCCGCCGGCTCCTACGCGGCCCTGCGCCGGCCTCTTACGCGGCTCCGAGCCGGCCCCTTACGCGGCCCTGGGCCGCCGGCTCCTACTCGGCCCCTTACGCGGCCCCGCGCCGGCCTCCTTCTCGGCCCCGCCGCCGGCCTCCTACACGGCCCGCCGCCGGCCTCCTACTCGGCCCGCCACCGGCCTCCTACACGGCCCGCCGCCGGCCTCCTACTCGGCCCGCCGCCGGCCTCCTACACGGCCCCGCCGCCGGCTCCTACTCGGCTCCGCCGCCGGCCTCCTACACGGCCCGCCGCCGGCCTCCTACACGGCCCGGCCCCGGCTCCTACTCGGCTCCGCCGCCGGCCTCCTACACGGCCCGCCGCCGGCCTCCTACACGGCCCGGCCCCGGCTCCTACTCGGCCCGCCGCCGGCCTCCTACTCGGCCCGCCGCCGGCCTCCTACACGGCCCCGCCGCCGGCTCCTACTCGGCCCCGCCGCCCGCCTCCTACTCGGCCCGTCGCCGGCCTCCTACTCGGCCCGCCGCCGGCTCCTACTTGGCCCTACCGCCGGCCCTACCGCCGGCCTTGTCCCGGCCCCGCCACTGCACTGCAGCCGAGCCGCCCAGCAGCAGCCGAGCCGCCCAGCAGCAGCCGAGCCGCCCAGCAGCAGCCGAGCCGCCCAGCAGCAGCCGAGCCGCCCAGCAGCAGCCGAGCCGCCCAGCAGCAGCCGAGCTGCCCAGCAGCAGCCGAGCCGCCCAGCAGCAGCCGAGCCGCCCCGCAGTAGCCGAGCCGCCCCGCAGTAGCCGAGCCGCCCGGTACCTGAGCAGCCCGAGCCGCCTGAGCTGCACGAGCAGCCCGAGCCGCCTGCTGCTGACCTACCCGACTCTCCCATCCCGGTGAGACTTTCAGCTGCTGCTATGGCCACCCCCAATGTTCTCACTTTTGACGCTGAGGGGAGGGCCATTGACTTTGCCGTCTGGATCGAGGATCTGCAGCTGTACTTACTGTGTGATGCGGTAGATGAGGTCTCTCTCTTTGACTTTGTCTCTGGCGCTGTCCCTGCCCCGCCTGCTGATGCTGACTCTGCCGTTCGCTCCAAGTGGGCGACCCGCGATGCTGCTGCACGTCTTGCTGTGCGTCGCCACCTCCCTTCCTCTGAGCGTGCCCACTTTAGTCAGTGCAAGACCGCTCAGGCCTTGTACGACGCTGTAGTTGCGCGCTACTCCTCCCCTTCCTCCGCTACCCTTAGCCGCCTCATGCTACCGTTTCTCTTCCCTGACCTCGCTTCCTTTCCCACTGTCGCTGACCTCGTTACCCACCTCCGCGCTAGTGACACCCGCTACCGCGCTGCCCTTCCTGCTGAGTTCCGCGCTGCGAACCCTCCTCCCATGTACATCACTCTCTACTTTCTCGTCACCCGTCTTCCTGAGTCCCTTCGTGTCGTTAGGGACCAGTTTCTCTCTGTCTGTCCCACCACTCTCACTGTCGACCTCCTTGAGGAGTCCCTGCTAGCGGCTGAGAAGAGTATTGTCGCTGTAGGGGCCTCTCGGGGTGACCCTCGCACCCCCATCTTTGAGGGGTGTGGTCCCTCCCCCCTGCTGCCCTCTGTCGCCTCTGCCGCTGCGGCCGACCTCGTTGGTTTTGAGTCGGTCGGCGCGGCGTCTGCCCCCAGTGGCAGACGCCGCACTGGCAAGGGCAAGGGGGGCAAGGGAGCGGGTGGAGCCAGAGGGGGCGGTGGAGGAGGCGGTGGGGGTGGAGGGGGGAGTGGGGGTGGCGGGGGGGGTGGTGGCGGGAGTGGAGGTAGTAGTGGCGGCGGTGGAGGCGGAGGTGGCGGCGGAGGTGGTAGCGGAGGAGGCGGTGGGAGCGGTGGGAGCGACGGTCCTGGTGGGGGAGGTGGCGGTGGCGACGGGGGTGGCGGTGGAGGCGGGGGTGGCGGTGGAGGAGGGGGTCGGAGTGGCTCGTCCCAGCGGAGCAGCTCTGGGGGTGGTCAGCGCCAGCAGCAGCAGCAGCAGCAGCCACAGCAGCAGCCGCAGCAGCAGCAGCGCTCTCGCACCGTCCCCGGCCCTCAGCAGCTCCGTGAGTGGTACTTGCAGCGTCAGCGCGGTGGTGCGCTTGGTCCCTGCCCCTACGTTCTTCGCACTGGTGACCGTGCAGGGGAGAGGTGTGGAGGCGCCCACACAGCCCGTCGCTGCTTTGGCCGCCTGACCGACGCCTGGCGTCAGCAGTTTCCGGAGGCCGCTGAGATCCCCCGCTGGGGAGAGCTGTCTAGGGCTGGTGTAGCTATTTATGATCTTGATTTTGATGCTATTCTCTCTGCTATGTATGCTGTGACTGGTAGTGATGAGGATGACTGTTACCGGTGTTTCCCGCCCGACCCGGGCATTGGTACTGCCGCGTCAGGTACTAGTGAGGCTGCTGCTCTAGGTGCCAGTGCGTCTGTGCTTTCAGGTACTGGTGAGTCCGCCCTCTCAGGTACTGTGTCGGCTTCGGCCTCTCACACCTTCACCCTTGACTCTGGAGCGTCTCGCTCCTTCTTTAGGGACCGCACCACTCTCACGCCGCTGAGTCGGCCTGTTGCGGTGTCCCTGGCGGACCCCTCTGGGGGGCCTGTCCTGACTCGCTTCTCCACTGTCCTCCCGTGTCCGGCGGCCCCCTCTGGCACCCTGACTGGTCTCTA